ATTCTTCAGGGTGCTTTTCAGTAAATATACTGCAGGTGCTGCTACTGAATTAAGAAAGGAAACAGATGTATTCTTTAGGCCTTAGTTACTAAAGACAGACTTGGCTCTGCAGATGTGTGAGCAAAAGGCACATGGATATTTAGGATATGCTGACTCTTTGAAGAGCAGAATACAACTGCAGGTGCTGGAGGTTTTTATTAAATTTTTTTCATACTCAGCTAATTCTATGCAAAGAAAAACATCCTATTTACGCTCAAATGCAAAGTAGAAAATCAGGGATTTAACTCTGTTTCTTCAAGATGAGCTGTATTTGTGCTCAACAGATGAGAGAAATTTAAATCTGAGCTGGAGGCTGACACAAACCCCTTCATGCTTACCCTGTTTCACTCCTAATTTTGTGCTGTTTCACAAGTTTTTTTGTTTTGTTTTTTAAATCATCTGTTCCTGTGTTTTCTGCCACCAGCTGTTCCTGCCATCCATGCGGAAAAAGAGTGGCCTCAGCAGCACAGAGGCCTCAGTGGACGGTGACACACTGACTGCCCACTGGTTCGTGGATGACATGTACACTTTTGAGAACGTGGGCTTCACTAACGACGTGGGGAGAATAAAGTACCTCATCTGTGCAGACTGCGAGATTGGACCAATCGGCTGGCACTGTTTGGATGACAAGAAAAGTTTCTACATTGCTTTGGACAGGGTGAACCACGCATAGTTTGAGTGCATATGTAAGTGAGTGCACGAGAACTTGAAAATAATGTGTTGGCAGGCAGAGCATCGGTTCATGGATTTACTCCCAGAGGTGATCCCGACTTCATCCACCACACATGCTTACAGATACTGGTGTGTATGTCTTTAACGGTGACAGGACTGTGTTGTTTTCATTCTCATGTTTCATGCTGACAAGTTTCACCATCCTGTTCTAATAAAAAGGTTTTTAGGAAATTGATGTTGAATGCAGTCTTTTGCAGCTTCCTCCTGAAAGAAAATTTGGTTTCATCCTTTATTTTAGCATATTCTTTTATAATCAGTTAAAAGATGCCAGTTGAACACTGAAACATTATGGAGCACAAAAAAGCAGGTAATCACTCAGTTTATCCTATAACACTCCTGGGAAAAAAGTAAGTACACTGATGATTTAGTAGCTTGTAGAACCACGTTTAGCAGCAACAACTTTAAGGAATTGTTTTCGGTCTGACTTTGTCAGTGTCTCACATCGAGGAATTTTGTCCCAATCTTATGTATTCTTCTTTCTGGGGTGGCTGTAGCTCAGGTGGCAGAGCAGGTCAGCCACTTTTCTGCGACTTATTTTAGCCATAAAGAGGCAGCCTGGGATCGAACCACACTGACTCGGTGGTTCGATCCCAGGCTGCCTCCTGGCTGCATGCCAAATATCCTTGGGCAAGATACTAACCCCATGTTTGCCTACTGGTGGTGGTCAGAGGGCCCGGTGGTGCCTGTGTCCGGCAGCCTCGCCTCTGTCAGTGCGCCCCAGGGCAGCTGTGGCTACAATGTAGCTTGCCATCGCCAGTGTGTGAATGTGTGGATGAATGGGTGAATGACTGAATGTAGTGTAAAGTGCTTTGGAGTCCTTAAGGACTCGAAAAGCGCTATACAAATGCAGGCCATTTACCATTTACCATTTACAGTGTTAATTCAGTTCATTGTGGTTTACAGGTATTCATTCATGCACAGCTCTCACAGTCACCCATCACAGCATTTAATCAGGTTGAGTTCTGGACTGACTGGACAATCGCAACACCTTGATTCTTTTCTTTTTCAGCCATTCTGCTGTAAATTTGCTGCTGTGCTATTGCTCATTGTCGTGTTGCCCCAGTGTCGGCCTAGCTTGAGAATACTTTGGTATACAAAGGAGTTCATGGTCGACTCAGTGACTACAAGATGCCCGAGTCCTGTGGTTACAAATCAAGCCCAAATCATGATCTTTCCACCACCATGTCTAACAGTTGATATGAGCTACTTGTGCTGATAGGCTGTGCTTTTGTTTTTCTCCAGATGTGGTGCTGGTCATTATGGTCAAATATCTCCACTTTGGTCTTGTCTGTCTAAAGGACATTGTTCACAAAATCGTATGATTTGCTCAGATGAAACTTTGAAAACCTAAGCTGTGCTGCCATGTTTTTGTAGAGAGAATAGACTTTCACATGGAAGGCCTTTCAAACAAGCCACACTTGCTCAGGCTTTTTCTAATTGTACTATCATGAACCTTAACATTTAACATGATAACTGAGGCCTGTTAAGTCTGAGATGTAGCTTTTGGACTTTTTAGTTTCTCAGTCTTGACTGAATGCTCCAGAATAGCAAACTGCCAAAACTTCTGCTTTTATATAGGTGCTCACACATTTATTTGGCAGCACCTGACAAATATTTACTCTCTTAATACGTCTGGAAACTGTAAGAGTGTACTTTGCTTTTCACGAGTCAAAACAAAGTGCTGTAAATACTTTTTTTTTCCCCATCACATGACTGCATGTAGGTTTTAGTGTATTTCACAGTTTTGGACTTCTGTTCCCAAAAACAAGTAAAACTGGAAATGCTAAGTTACTTACCATCTGAAATTCAGTTTGGTACATTATTCATTTAAATCCACAAACGAGGTGTTAACATGTGAGCAAGTCTGCATTATCGATATGGTGTTGGAAGCATTTATTACATTTGCATTCAGTCTGATCCTCCTTGCAAAGTTTTAAGCTGTAGATTTTATAGTTCTAAATATAATTTTGTTCAACCCAACTGTCTCCAGTTTCTCTGTAATAATTTATGTTCTGTGGTTCACGCTATGAGAGGTCTACTGTTCATCACTAAGGGTCCTGATTTTATAGCTGCCAGCACATTTTCTTTGTGATGTGGTTCCAGATGCTCACACCTAGTAAGATGAGTCCCACCATGTGAGTTTCAGGGGTGGTATTAGTTGAAATACCTGGTGTGGTGGATGTGGGTTTGTGAAGAATGAAAAGATTTGTTCTGAAGACTACCGCTGTATAAATTGTGTATTACTATGTCATTATGAGTTCAAAGGTACCAGAATGACTTAAAGTTCTTCACTTACTTGGGACAGAAGGGAAGAAAATATCCTGTGCTAATAGCAGTTTTTGTTAAGAGTGAGCATACATTAAAAAACACCTGCCAGTTTACCGTCCAACAGGAAGCTTAGGCGAAACAGAAAACATGGACATTCAAATCAGCTCTGTACAGTGCTGAGAAAAACAGTATTTGCCTGCTTCCTGAGTTCTTATTCTTTTTTTGCGTATTTGTCACACATGTTTCAGATCATCAAACAAATTTTAATATGAGAGAAAAATAACCGAAATAAAGGCAAAGTCCAGTTTTTGAAATATTTTATTCATTAAGGGGGGAAAGCTATTCAAATATGCTTGGTCCTGTGTGGAAAAGGAACTGCCTCTCATGTTAAATCATGAATTAACAGTTAATAACCACAATTTTTAGAAAACTGAGTTCATTTGCACTAGCCTCACCCATGCCTGACTACTCCCTGAAATCGCTTAAATAGAACCTGTCTGACAGAGTGAAGTAGGCTAAATTATCTCAAAAAGCAACGAATCATTCCACGATCTAAAGAAGCAACTGAGAAAAGAAGTCACTGACATCTCAGTCTGGAAAGGGTTATAAAGCAATTTCCTAAGGCTTTGGAACTCCAGTGAACTACAATGAGAGCCATTATCCACAAACAGAGGAAAACTTGGGACACTGTTAAACCTTCCCAGGGGTGACCGGCCCACCAAAATGACTCCAAGAGCGCATTAATGACTCCTCCAGGAAGTCACAAGAGAACCCAGAACAACGTTTAAAGAACCGCAGGCTTCACTTCCCTCAGCTTTGGTCAGAGTTCATGATTCAACAATAATTCAACGACATATTTGCCAAAATACCAAGACTTTGGGGATAATATTCTGTGGACTGATAAGACAAAAGTTAAACCTTTCAAAAGGTTTGAGTCCTGTTACATCTGGTGTAAAACTAACATAGCATTTCATAACAACAGTCAAACATGGTGGTGGTACCGTGAGCTATGTACCCAAAGGAGAATGTCAAGCCCTGAAACTCGAACTCACTCATGTTACTCAACAGGACAATCATCCGAAACACACCAGCGAGTCCACCTCTAAATTAGACCTCTTTGACTACCCTCCCAAAAAGCTTTTGGTGTAGTTAAAGAGGTCTTGAAGCCGATTGAAATGCTTTGTCATGATCTTAAACAGGCTGTTAATCCTGGAAAACCTTCCAATGTGGCTGAAAAGAAGAGTGAGACAAAATTCCTCTACAGCAGTGTGAAAGATTATTGCCAAACCCAATTATGGGGTTTAGAGAGCAATTACTTTTCCACATAGAGTCCCCCAAGTTAAGATAGCCTTTCTCTCTTAATAAATGAAACAATCATTTAAAAACTACATTTTGTATTTACACAGGTTATCTTTGACTATCACTAAGATTTGTTTTTGTTGATCGGAAACATGCAAGTGTGACAAATATGCCAAAAACTGAAGACAAAAAACTTTTCGGGTTGTTGTTGTTGTTTTTTGGGTGGTGGTGGTCAGTTTTTGGCACAAAGAGTAGCCTTTCAGAGCCAAAAGCTACTCTTTGTGAAGTTAGATGTTTACAGCAATTGTAGCACACCCAACAAGCTATCGATAGCATAAAAATAATATATCGTATAATTATTATTGTTATTATACATTTGGCGTCAAACAAATGAAAATGTTTATTTTAAAAACACAAACGGCTGAACTATCAACATATGACTCCTCTCTGCCAATCAACGAGCTTCTCTAGACCATTTAAAAACAAAGTGCCGGTCAGCGCGCAAAGATCTTCAAGGTGAGTTCGATTAGTAAACACCGGGTAATGTCTGCTAGTCTTTCGCCTTAGCCGGGCGGAGTGAGGCTTCTGTCTTTATTTGAGAAGGGGAGAACAGGAGCATTGTCTCACCACAGGGTGAAATAACCAAACGCACCCAACAAGGGAGCAATCATCTGTGAGGAAACCACTGAACCAATAAGCTATATAGTCCTAAACTGTTCGCTACTAAAGTATTAACTACAGTATATTTTTAAAAACGCTGTGAAAACTAAAATAAAGTTACTCCATCGTACCACAGATTTGCAGCCATGTAAGTCCTTTGTGTTACGAAAGCACACCTTAAATTGGTGTAATAAAATGTCAATTTAGACACAGTCCGTTTTTTACTTCTATCTCGGTAACAAAAGTGCGTGTTTGCGCACGAAAACGGCGCAAAAATGACGTTAGCCTAAATAATTCGTGGGTGTCTACTTGTCGAAGCGGACGTGTACGTCCCCTCGCTGTCAGAGCTCGTCTCCAACTAGATAATTCGTCTTTGAGTTCAATGAGTGGAGAGTGGACATGAACTGAAAGACTGGAGATCAAAGCAAGCACAGACGGCTTGGAACCCCCCTTTTTAAAAAATATTTCAGCTGGAGTCATAACGAAGATGCAACGATGACTCAGCCGCAGGTGAATGAGTTCATTCCTCCTCCCGAGTGCCCTGTTTTTGAGCCCAGCTGGGAGGAATTTGCCGACCCTTTTGCGTACATCAACAAAATACGACCAATTGCAGAGAAAACTGGTATCTGCAAGATCCGACCACCGCCGGTGAGTAATTCTTTTATTTTTTACAATTATTCGTGGTGTTTGCACGGTGTGCTGGTCTCTGCCGCTGTGGCTAATTTAGAAGGCAAAGTTGTGTTTTTAAGACAGGTTTCAACATGGCGGATTGCGCCTGCGAGTAAGAATAGTGAGCTAGCCCGAGCTGGACTGTGTTGTGTTTGTAACGGCAATGGGAAGCTCTCAGACACATGCCATTCAAGAGGAAACCTGTGTCCTGGTCGGGCTTAGTCGTAAAAACAAACCAGACCTGGATTCATGATAGAGGGTCGCCCAACTTAAAGAGCGCTATAAAAAAATAATTCAAACGCAAAAGTTTGCCTGTACGCAAAATATGATGCAAATTGTTTACGTTAGCGCAGAATGAAGTGCTTCCTGGAGTCTGCGCACGGAAATGGCTCGCCTAGACTTGACCTACTAATAATTTAACAACCATTTCTGCGCACTTGGTTAAATGTAAAGTCCAAGTATCTGAGCAGGATTTGACGGATTTAGACAGGGTGAATTAACCTGACTAGCATCAGTCGGGGCCCGTTTAAAGCCGCAGTTTTCTGACATCTCACGCTGGCAAACGTACGTGCTCGGTGGCCAACTGTTTATGGAGAAAAGGGTCGTAGAAACACGGCACTCAGTGGGGGACACTGTTTCTCTCTTTCATCGTAGTTTTATCAACTTTATCCACGCAAATTACGGTTATTCCCGACTGCTACTAGCGTTAGTTTATTAACCAGATAGTTTTATACTTGCAGGCTAATCTTTATTTCGCTATTATGGAAGCAAATCCAGGGCTATTTTTTAATAATAATTCTAATTGGACGATTAGTCTGGCGTAATCCACACCTCTCTAACGTCTCAGGGGTCAAATATCAAAGTCTGTAAGGAAATACTGACAATAAAATGGCGTTTTCCCCCCTTAAATATCTTAGAGCTAACATAATGCAAAAAATAATGTCCCATTGACCTTATTTCTGAGACATGTGACAGTAGTGGGCATATATTTTATTCAAGGGTGTGTCCATGCGTTAAAAGGGTAGATTGAACAGATTTATTATTTTTTTAATATGCCTGACGTAATTTTTTTCCAGGTATTCTCTATGTCAACTTAAAAAGATAAAATGTATATTTATTTTTTGCAAGGTCCTTGACATGGGTGGAAATGTTTTAACATGTGTGCCATGCGTCTAAAGCAGAAATCAGGAAGCATGAAAAAAGGAGAAAAAAAAGCTTATTTTGCACACTTTAACCCGTTGGGTATGAGTACAAGGGATTGAATTGTCATCAAAAGCGGATGGGTGGGGTGACTGCTTTCAGTGTTTGCTGGGTAAATGGCTGAAATGCACAGCTCATGTAAACAAAAGAAGCCAGTGGGGTAAATGTGAGCAAAGATTAGCTGCTGATAGTAGTTGGATTGATATTCGAGATCTATTAGTGCTGTCTAAACTAGGATTTACATTTCACAATTATAAGTCAGCACCAGCAGTTTATTCTGGAATGTTTGGATCAAAATGTGGCTCAGACAGACCAATAAATAATCTTAAATCCTTGAAGAGATGGAAACTGGGCTCTTGAGCTGAGTTTTTTACCAGGACAAATTTATAAGTTTGTAATTTTAATGTGTTTTTTAAAAACTGTTATTTCTATCTATCTCTAAAGAGAGAGATCCTGGAGTTTTATTTTTTGTCTGCAAATTGTGTGTGCAAATGGTGTATACAATCCAGAGATTATAGATTGGCTCTTATTTGAGAGCCCTGTTTCTTTGTTTCATTATTCTCTTTTAACCCTTTCCCATGTACAAACGGTTCAGACAATGTTTGAAAAAGGAAGTAAACACTGCACCACAACCTGTTTTCGATCAGTGATTTTTATTTGGTGCACGGTATACAGGTAGAGTTTCCTTCAGGGTTTTACATGGCTCACATTTTGACTATAGAGGTTAGTAGCGCACATGCAGATGATTTTCAGGGACATTGCCAGGCCTGTTTGTGGTTAATTTCTCACAATTGTATTTGTCATTTTGGATTGAGATTGGAGGGCCTGAGTCATGTAGAGACCAAAATTTGTGCTTGCAGTCTTAACTACCATGGTCAGACTTGTGGAGGATGGTCAGTAAAACAGAGCACATTTCTATTTGTTTTCAAAAATGATTGTTTTGCTTTGGTCCCACAACATTTGTTAGACTAATCCAACAATAAGGTGGTGTTAATGCAGCTGTTGTTATCTCTTCTCTGGCCAGCATTTCACTCATTGTCCAGGCCCAGTAAATCTTGACTCTGACATTTTAAAGAGCCTCTGGTAACGCTGCACACAGTAGGCAGTCAGCTTTAACAGTAAGTGTTTGTGTTCATTTTTAAGAAATGTTGCGATAGTTGAAGATTGAAACACATCAGGAACGTTAGACTAATTTGCAGGTCTCATTATCAGCCTGTATATGTAAATTTGCCACATTTCCTTTTCATTACAGTACTGTTTCAGTTGGTTTGGCATGTAAATGTAGTCGTCTTAAAAGAGAAAACAGACCTGGTTTGTTTGGTTTTTTTTTAAGTAAAAATGGCTCCCCTTTTTGTATACTTATCACAGGTTAGGATGTTATCACAAATGACTAAAAGTTACAAAATCATAATCTATTGATATTAGATCCTACAGTGCAAACATGTTATACACATTGAGAACACAAGCTGTTTACAGCATCTGTTCATCTATTTTCCATCGGTATTAATAATATTTAGACTAACAATGCCATTGAAACATTAAAGAAAATGTAACCTGCATGTTTTGTTTAGTTTGAATAACAATGCTAATTTTCTACCCGAATGCTTCATGTTCTGACTCTAAGAATCCCACAGACTGAACATTTTGGCCTTTTTGACTCCAGAATAGACAAAACAGTACATTGGAAGACGTCACTTTAGGCACAGAAAGTTTCATGGATACATGTTCACAATGTGGAAACTGTATCGACTAAACATTAGTCAATAATAAAAGGCACAATGCAACAACAAATAACTGAGAGAAGCTGTGGCTGCACATTTATTGGGAGGTTTCTGTATAGTTGTTTTTATGAGTGCTTGTTACGCTATAGAAGAACAAATGTGAAACCTGAAAAGCTTATCTCCACAATAAACTTTTTTCTTTTTTTTTTCTTTTTTTTTACTGTTCTTTGTTCTTAGGAAGCAGTTGAGACTGTCCTTTAACTGTATGACAGCATTTACCATTATCGGTTTGATAACATGTGAGAATAACACAGTTATAATAACACTGTTTTAATAACACTGTTTTGTATCACACATTGAACTGTACAAAATTGAGATCATTTTCCTGAATCTTGAACTTGCACTTACAACTAGTCGTACAGGAAGTTGTGCAGTATAGCATGGTTAGTGTTTTAGTTTGTAAGACAGTTGTTTTGCTCAGTTGCTTCGCATGCGGTTAGACATCGAAGTGAAGTTTTTGTTTTTAAGTGAAAGTGGGGACAGGTTCTGTTAAATAATAACTAATTAGCAGAAATAAAGCAAACCTATGTTTAACAAATTTACTACCTTTTTGTCATATTTACACTCATTATATTTAATAGCATTAAAATGTTGACTTTTCTGAAACAATGGCTTACTGTTTCTCATTATGCCATTGTCTTTGCCTCATTCTTATGTGCCAAGCTGCAGTACTCGCATCTTATTTTCAGGTATTAAAATTTAAGTATTTACTTGGAGCTCAGATGGGTATAAAGACTAAAGCCTAATTAATTTGGTAACATCAGCTTTTTCCTCTACGTTGGTTCATTTGAGTGTAATGATGATGATTACTGCAAGTAGACTTGGAATCTTGCTGTATACGATGATACAGCTGAAACTGAAAAATCTGCAAACAAAAGCAGGTTTCAGTGAGTCTAATCGTCACAGCTTTAGTCTAATCTTGCTTAAAATGTTCTGTCTTTTTATTTTGTTTTTTGTTTTTCCTTTACTCATTTCAGGATTGGCAGCCACCGTTTGCTTGTGATGTCGACAGACTTAAATTCACACCGCGAATACAACGGCTCAATGAGCTTGAGGTACATTTGTCATCTTTATATATTTACAAAATCCAGTTTTGCTCATCTCTTGTATTCAGGTATTTCCTCACTCGCTGTGCTTTTGTTCATTGTCCTTCAAAAAAATTTTTTAAAAAAATGGCCGCATCGTCAAAATATCTGATTCACTATCATGTCATAGTGAGCCGTGAAAAGACTGCAGACATATTTCTGTCTTTTAAAAAATGTTAATACTAGTAGGAGAGAATGCAGAAAGATAGTAACTCAGTCATTTTATTTCTTTATTTTTTGTACTGTTCTTTTTGGAGCACTTAGTACTTCTCAGATTATTTTCTTACAACTCCAATGCTTATTGTTTGAGGAGCTAAACAATTTCTCTTTTTTCCTTAAGGCTCAGACCAGAGTTAAACTCAACTTCCTGGATCAAATAGCAAAATTCTGGGAGCTACAAGGATGCAAACTGAAAATTCCTCAAGTGGAAAGAAAGATTCTGGATCTGTACCAACTGAATAAGGTGTGAAAATCCCCACTAGCGCTACAGTTATGAATCTAAGAGGGTGATCATAAATACGTTACAACTGAATTACGATTGATTTTTATGACTTGTGAATCAGCAGATGGGTGACAAATTAAAGGAAAAACCTGAACCTTTAAGTACTACAGTGAGGAGCTGTGAGGCTAAGTATAAGAGGAGGGGCGGGGGGGGGG